CCGAGTTTTCCAAACATCATAATTAAGCCAAAATAGCATTAATTTTGATTCGGAAAGCTTTTCTGTGCTAGTTTTTCTTGTACTAACAAATCTGCATACTGCGTTTGTTGGTGCTACTGTCAGTTGTTGACTAAAATCATAAGAACCCGCAAAAAGGTAGAAAAACGGACCATTTTTCCGAAAAATCATAGTTTAAAAAAACTCATAACTAAGCCAAACAATCATTAATTTTAATTCGGAAAGCTGTTCTATGTTAGTTTTTAGTAGATTAACAATGCTGCATACTCAGTTTTCAAATTTAAAAAATTCAATTTTTTGTCAAATTTTGGCAATTTTAATGATGTAACCCCTTATAAAATTTTCAATTTTCGGAAAAATGTAAAAAATTTATTTTTCGACCGGACATGGCTAGAACGACTGGGCTGTTGATGCTGGTCAAGAATATATATGGTTTATAGGGTCGGAAATGACTCCTTCACTGCGTTTTAATCTTCTGACTGAAGCTATACTCTGCGAAAAGGTATAAAAACAGACAATTTTCTTAAATAATCCGAGTTTTCCAAACATCATAATTAAGCCAAAATAGCATTAATTTTGATTCGGAAAGCTTTTCTGTGCTAGTTTTTCTTGTACTAACAAATCTGCATACTGCGTTTGTTGGTGCTACTGTCAGTTGTTGACTAAAATCATAAGAACCCGCAAAAAGGTAGAAAAACGGACCATTTTTCCGAAAAATCATAGTTTAAAAAAACTCATAACTAAGCCAAACAATCATTAATTTTAATTCGGAAAGCTGTTCTATGTTAGCTTTTAGTAGATTAACAATGCTGCATACTCAGTTTTCAAATTTAAAAAATTCAATTTTTTGTCAAATTTTGGCAATTTTAATGATGTAACCCCTTATAAAATTTTAAATTTTCGGAAAAATGTAAAAAATTTATTTTTCGACCGGACATGGCTAGAACGACTGGGCTGTTGATGCTGGTCAAGAATATATATGGTTTATAGGGTCGGAAATGACTCCTTCACTGCGTTTTAATCCTCTGACTGAAGCTATACTCTGCGAAAAGGTATAAAAACAGACAATTTTCTTAAATAATCCGAGTTTTCCAAACATCATAATTAAGCCAAAATAGCATTAATTTTGATTCGGAAAGCTTTTCTGTGCTAGTTTTTATTGTACTAACAAATCTGCATACCGCGTTTGTTGATGCTATTTTTTGTCAAATTTTGGCAATTTTAATGATGTAACCCCTTATAAAATTTTCAATTTTCGGAAAAATGTAAAAAATTTATTTTTCGACCGGACATGGCTAGAACGACTGGGCTGTTGATGCTGGTCACGAATATATATGGTTTATAGGGTCGGAAATGACTCCTTCACTGCGTTTTAATCTTCTGACTGAAGCTATACTCTGCGAAAAGGTATAAATACAGACAATTTTCTTAAATAATCTGAGTTTTCCAAACATCATAATTAAGCCAAAATAGCATTAATTTTGATTCGGAAAGCTTTTCTGTGCTAGTTTTTATTGTACTAACAAATCTGCGTACTGCGTTTGTTGGTGCTACTGTCAGTTTTTGACTAAAATCATAAGAACCTGCAAAAAGGTATAAAAACGGACAATTTTTCCGAAAAATCATAGTTTAAAAAAACTCATAACTAAGCCAAACAATCATTAATTTTAATTCGGAAAGCTGTTCTATGCTAGTTTTTAGTAGATTAACAAAGCTGCATACTCAGTTTTCAAATTTACAAAATTCAATTTTTTGTCAAATTTTGGCAATTTTAATGATGTAACCCCTTATAAATTTTCAATTTTCGGAAAAATGTCAAAAATTTATTTTTCGACCGGACATGGCTAGAACGACTGGGCTGTTGATGCTGGTCAAGAATATATTTGGTTTATAGGGTCGGAAATGTCTCCTTCACTGCGTTTTAATCCTCTGACTGAAGCTATACTCTGCGAAAAGGTATAAAAACAGACAATTTTCTTAAATAATCCGAGTTTTCCAAACATCATAATTAAGCCAAAATAGCATTAATTTTGATTCGGAAAGCTTTTCTGTGCTAGTTTTTATTGTACTAACAAATCTGCATACCGCGTTTGTTGATGCTATTGTCAGTTTTTGACTAAAATCATAAGAACCTGCAAAAAGGTATAAAAACACAATTTTTCCCAAAAATCATAGTTTAAAAAAACTCATAACCAAGCCAAAAAAGCATTATTTTTAATTTGGAAAGTTGCTCTATGTTAGTTTTTACTAGATTAACAAATCTGCATACTCAGTTTTAAAATTTAAAAAATTAAGTTTTTTGTCGATTTTTGAAAAAAAGAACGATCAAATGTTCAAATTTTAACAACATTTGAGAAATTTAATCTTTCTTTCAGACATGCCTAATAAGATTCGCCTGTTCATTCTGATCAAGAATATATATGTCCTTCACTGCGTTTCAGTCGTCTGACTGGAATTATATTCTGCCAAAAAGGTATAGAAGCAGACAATTTCATTGGAAAATCCATATTTTCCAAACATCATAATTAAGCCAAAATAGCATTAATTTTTATTCGGAAAGCTTTTCTGTGCGGGATTTCATAGCACTAATAAATCTGCATACTGCGTTTGCTGATGCAGTTATAGGTTTCTGACTAAAATAATAAAACCCAGCAAACAGGTATAAAAACAGACAATTTTTCAAAAAAATCATAGTTTACAAATCTCATAACTAAGCCAAAAAATCTTTAATTTTAATTTGAAAAGCTGCTCTATGCTAGTTTTTACTAGATTAACAAATCTGCATACTCAGTTTTCAAATTTAATAAATTCAATTTTTTTGCCAATTATTGACAATTTTAATGATGTAAATTTGAAATTTCCGAAAATTCTGAAAAAGAATAGATTTAGGTCGGACACAGCTTGATCGATTTAGCTATTTATGCTGATCAAGAATATATATGATTTATAGGGTCGGAAATGACGCCTTCTCTGAGTTTCAAGCTTCTGACTGAAATAATAATACCCTAAAAATGTATTTTAGATTTTAAACTTAATTATGTGACATTTTAACTTGTTTCTTATTTTTTAACTCACCTTAGGGTTCTGAAAACCTGTGAGGAGAATAGACAGTAGATCAGAGGATTGGCCGCTGAGTTTAGCGGAGCAAGACTCTGGATAAATGTGGCTATGGCAATGTTGGTCTGCGAGTGCGGAATTTGACCAAAGACTTGTAGAAGATCGAAGATAATATAGGGTGACCAACAGATGATGAACACAAACACAATGGTAAGTGTCATTTTCACCGTTTTGACCTTGGCCCGAGGTATGATGCCTCGGGAACTGGCACGCCTTGCAGGTGCGGCCCCAAAGCCAGCACGCTCTGTAAGGAAATTAAGTAAATAAACAATTAAATTATTAATTATAGTTATTGTATCCGAATTTTCAACGTACCTGTGGGCACAAATATGGAGCCCTTGGCCCATATGGTCTTCACTATTATCGCATAGCAGGCGGATATGATCAGTGCAGGAACTGCAAACAAAGTGGCCGAGACCAGGCTCATGTACACCTGCCAGGCCATGGGTGAACCCAACTCAATCCAGCACTGCGGATGTCCTTGGATAAGCTTCTCCTCGTATAAAACCAGGATGGGTAGTGAGAACAAGGCCGAGATGAACCAAGCACCGGCCACCAGATGACGCGCTCGTTTCCCTAAAGAAAGAACATTTAAAGAGCTATAGAAAACATTCCAAGTTCTTTTGAGAAGGTCTACTTAAGTTTCCTCAAAATTCTTTAATACAAAAAATAATCTTAAGGATCATTTAAAAAATTCTACAATTCTTGGACACATAATCGCAGCAAAACACGAAACAGCGCTTTGGCTAACAACATTTACCAATTAGAAAACTTTGCCACCCGACTTTCTGACTTTGCGACTTACACGACTTTGAGAAGTTCATGGGATGTGTGATGGCATCGTATCTGTCGATGCTCATGGCCACCAGGACGTAGGTGGAGGAGTATGTGACGCACACCTGTGAGAAGCGTATGACCTTGCAGGCCAGGTTGCCCGCCCGCCACGAAATCGTGATGCGCCAAATGATGTCCGTCAGCACGTTGAGTAGGCCCACGAAAAGATCTTTAAGGATTTGTTAAAATAAAGCTAGAAAGCTAACCGGAAACCCCAAATCTGAACTTACCTGCCAGTGCCAACTGTTTGATGAAATAGTTCATCCGTGATTTGCGGTTCTTGTTGATGAACATCACGAATAGAACCGCCGAGTTGCCCAGGACAATGACGGTGAAGAGGATCCATAGCACTGCAAACTGTTCCGTCTGTAAGAGAGAGGTCGGGAATGTGGTCACATTTCATTAAGCGCCTATAAAATTCATTGTCAACAAAGTGTTAAGAACGGAAATCACGCATAAAACTCAATTTAATGCTCCCCAAACACACACTGTCACCCACTGACACACACACTCACACGATGTTTATGGCTCTTTAAATAGCCATAAAAATGATAGAGCTATGAAGTCAAGACGTGGAGAGCGGAGAGGGGCGGCCGACAGGATGTGCCAGCGGAAGTTTGCTTCTTTCCAGCTCAGTACTAACAAGACTAGGACAACACCCACACAGACACGTTGGAAGGGCAGACAGCAAACATTATTCCTGCAGGAAATTGTTGCCAAGATTGAGGGCCTGCACTCGAAGAAAGGTGCTTACTTAGGTTACCTTAATTATGGAATTAATTATTATTTATTTCAAAGATTTTGAGAAGGTTAATAATTTGAATCAAAACCTAAAATTATAATATATTCATTGGATTTAGAAGGTTGTTCTGAAAAGATTTTTTTTTCACAATCTAAGCTACATATATTTTATCGCTATAGATATTTAAACGTTGCTTTTTGCATCTCTTTCACAACTATATACATTTTTTTCCCCTGAAAAAAAATATGCTATTTTTTCCAGTATACAAATGACAGTAAAATGTCAAGAGAGTGTCATTCTATTAATAAAAAAATAAAGTAATATTAATTTCTGAGTGCTATTGAGCATACCCCCGCTAATGTAACCGATAATGATACTGCTGGCTGGACCCCGAACCCACCTCCCCTAGGGACACATCCCTGGGAAGATGTATGTTTTTGCAGCAAATTAAATTCGTCTTTCAACGCGTCTCACAGGATTCCAGGACTCGCAACTAGTGAAGGTGAGTTTGAATTATGGCCTCGGGTCTGTGTGCATTCTGACGCCAACGCTCCGCATCGACGCCTTAAGGGCGAGCAGCGTAAACTTGTCCCGAAAAAGAAGCAGCTAAAAGAAAAACTTGACAGGCTTCGTCCTTCGTCCTTGGAAGTGTGCTCAGACCAAAGGCGCCTCAGCTTATGCTACAACTTTTTTGCGGCCCATACTTGCAGTATATTCAGTTGTTATTTTTTCGGTCGGCCTAAGTGCGACTCCTAAAAATATATACACACTATATAGTATATGAAACGAGAAGGATATATCTCGTCCAGGAGACTCGGAGGAGCCTGGACTGGAACTTGGACCGCTTTGCTGTCTGCCAGTTCATCATGTTGCGCAAATTGGCGCATAAATCAACAAATGAGCAAAGCGGCGGCTATTTTTACTCATTCTTGGCACATCCTGTCTGCCCCGTTTTTCATTATTCGCCGGTGTCGCGTTTATTATTAAATGAGGTTTGGCTGAGCTGCCTTCATTTGTTAACTGCAAATATTTTCTCTGAGCTGTGATTTGATTTTTCCCGCTAGAAACTGACTCGGCAAGTTTTTCTTTAAAGCCTTTATCGGCTCGGTGTCGCAAGGTGTTTGGTGTTCCTTCCGTTCGCCAGGCGCTCAAGTGCAATTTTCCATCATGACTTTACACAAAGCACCGAGTATATCTATTCCCCTTCTAAGCCAGTCAGAACTTTTCCCGCTTTGGAAAACTTTTACCCATTTGATGTTGGCTCAGCTCCTATTTTTATTAGACGCCATTTTTTCGCACGGTTTTTTTTTTTGTGAGTTTTTGTTATTCCTTTTGTCGGGAAGTGTTGGCCAAATATTTGACTTAACAGATTCATATATATTTTACACTCAACGGGTGAGAAATTTTATCCATTGCTATTTCTGCCTGTGGTTTTTATGAGTGGCTTCTAAAGCGATATAAAGCGGTGGAGAGATATTTATTTAGAAAGATATTGTGTTTAAAGAGCTTTTTAAATTTATGATTATATAAAATAGTCACTGAAATTCAAAATAACAATATGAAAATCATCAAAAAAGGACCAGAAAAACATGCAACGATGCAATTAATTAATTAACATCAAACGCTTTATAATAAAATAAATATCTGCAGTTTTTAAGACTGCTTTTAGTTACTTTTAGATTTTTATAGATTTTTATTATGTCCCCTGATGCGAACGCTATAAAAATGTAATAAATGGCGTATTGTAAGCCTTTTTTAATGATCGACCATTTCTGGTTGCTTTTTTCACCCTTTTCTACTCACGTATGTGTGTGGGTTTGCCCTTTTTTTTGGCAAGTCATTATGCCTTTTTCAATTTGGCTTTCCACCTCGAGGAAATTGCTTTTTTTTGCCAGGGAGAACATTAAAAGTGCGAAATTTAATTTCAGACCAAAAAAATGAGTTGGCCCAAAGGAAAGAACTTGAAGAATGGCACAGATACCACGACAAAAGGGGCGGGTTTGGGCTGTACCGAACCGTAAATCCTCATTAAAAGGCAATTCCCGCACCTGTTGAGCCCCGGAGCAACTTTATCTGCCGCAAACTATTATGTCTGATTATTAAGTGGGACAGCCATAACAATAGCAGCCACTTGGTCCTCGAGTGCCACGCGCACCGCCAGCAAGGCGTCCTTTTCCGCATCCACTTTCGTCCTTATACCCCTGGTCCATTGTGCAATGCGACTTTAAGTGCACTTTGTGCGGCTTTGGGGCTCTTCGTGGCTTTAAGCCGCATTCTGCAAAGTCCCTCTCCTGCTGACAAATTTCCACTGCTGGCCGCGAATCGTAAAATGCAGCAACAAAGACAAATGGTTGGCCACCAACAAAAGGCAATGGGAAATTAATTTCATTTTGCAAGAAAAGAGCGCTTTCAGCGAGCATTTTCCCTGCAGCTGCAGCTGAGCTGTAAATCAGTCCAGTCCTTGTGGCTGAGAAAGGCACAGAGAGGCGTGTTGGTCGAACTCAATGTTTCTTTTGAGATTGTGGCTGTAAAAATACGCTTTATTAAATATTTATAATGTATTCTACAGAGGAATGATACGAAGAATATTAATATGGACAGATCTAAAATAAAGAATATAACCTTAAGCAAGAGTACAACATTAGATTTAACCATAGATTTCCCCTTAAGAAATCCTTTTCATATAGTTATTTTTATTTACAGCCTAATTTCTTTCTTATTTAATGATCTTTTGCCTAAGTTTTATGTTTCCATTGACCCCCGAAATTGATTTTATAGGACACTTAAAAGTCCGTCATACCACGTTTGCCCATAAGCTTAATAAACTTTTATTTTCGTTGCTCATATTTAAAAAGCATCGCGGGCTAAGGACACGGAGCACATGGCTCTCGGCCACCATTGTTGTTTTTCTTTCTTTCTGGCAGCTTAAGTTTTTATGTGTGTAGTTTCAGCTCTATATAATTGTGTGTGTGTGTGAGTGTGGAATGTGTTTTGTTTGGCTGTTTATTCGTTTGTTTGTTTGTTTTCGTTTCCTTTCCCATTTTTCAGGGCATTCATTAATAGCGATTACATTGTGCTTGAGTGCCTTGTCTCCGTAGAAGTTGCATAAAGTAAAATTAAATTCCATATTACGTATACGCAGCGTGCTCAGCCAGCAAATGGTCAGATAATAAGCATTACGAAAAACTTTCAGCAAGTCGGGTCAACGAACTTGGGCAAGTTGAGAGGCAGGAACATATATATATTTAGTTTATTTATACGTGTTACACAGAACAAGATGTCGCTTTCAATCTATTAACTTTGTGAAAATGTACTGTAATCTATGTCTTTAATAAAGAGACTTTAATATTTTAGCAATAATAATATATAATAATAATAATAATAATATATAGTAATATATAATAATATAACAATAACCAAAAATTGCTAGATTCTGAAGTATGTGATGAAAAGTTTTTGTACCAATAATTTTTTATTTTTTTAAACCATTGAGGAGTTTTTTGATCAAAACTCAGCATCAACAGCCGAATCGATCTAGCTATGTCTGGTAAAAATTTAATTTTTTCAAAATTTTCAAATTTTTATAAGGGTTAAAATTGTCAAAATATGACAAAAAGTTAAATTTTTTAATTTTAAAACTAAGTATGCATATTTATTAGTATTATAAAAACTAGCATGGAAACAATTTTTGAATTGAAATTAATGCATTTTTGGCTCAGTTATGATAATTTACATATACAAACTTTGGCTTCCCGAAGTTACCTTCCTCTTCCTTTTTATTTTGATTTCTTCTCTGAAATCTGTAAAACCACACAACTCTACAGCATATTGTTTACGAAAACACCACTCATAATACAACTCTTTAAGCCCAACCTAGTGTAGCGTAATCATCACCATGGTGATAAACATTCATATACATGGAGAACCAAGAAGGATACTTGAGCTGGCAGGATACGAGAGCGTATTATTTTGGCATAAAAACATGCATTTGGGTCAAGCCGAGCACATCAATCATGGTTTTTATAGTGTATCCTGCGTATGTTGCTGTGTTTAGTCGCTTTCATTTTATGAACTGATCTCCTACAGCCAAAGCCACTGGAAGTTAGCCCCCCCAAAAAATGGGAAGGGTGACATGTAAGGGAGGCCACCTCGACTCGACTGCGCTTTAATACGCCTAATGGCCAAACATTTTGTCATCAGCTGGCTTAAATCATCCCCCCGTTGGCCGTGCATATTTGGCGTTGATGTTGACACAAATTGAAATTAATAAAAGCTTGACATTATGGCGAAGAGGACGGGGTACGGGAGACAGCGGTTGTGTTTGGATGCTGTTGTGTTGACAAACTGTTGAGTGGAATTTCGGTGCTGTGGAAATATGAAAAATGACCAAAGATTTGCCAGCGTAATTGTGGTCAGTTATGGCCACGTGCAGCTCAGAGGAGAGCTAATAAAGACCGACTGCTATGACATAATGTCTGTTAAACTGGTCCTTCCAGGATCTATCTTTAAATACAGTTAAAGTCCATCTTGATACATAAACACACACCCCGAAGTACTTAGTTCTGCGGCTAATGAGAGATTAGTGAAACGACACCCTTTGCCCCCACTCTCCACTCTTCAGTGTGACCTACTAAGCGAGTCGATAAATTTTGTAGCAAAAATGCTAGAAAAAAAACGAAAATAGCCAAGGGCCAAACCTCAAATTGTTACGCCAGTGACTCGTAAATTCTGGGGTCAACAAAACACATTAATCAAATGAGTCGAACATAAATTTAGCTAGTTGGCCCAAAGATGGCCATAAAAGAAATGTATAGATAGTCCATCCGTCCGTCCAGTGGCTTGTTGTCGCAATGCAAATGTTGTCTAATGTATAAATAAATTAGAAGACCAAACATAAATATGACTTCAAATGGCCCGATGCCCAGATAACCTCAGCACAGCAAAAGTTGAATTAAAAGTTTGGCCCAAAATAACAAGAAGACCAGGAAAAGCTGGTGAACCAGACAATGGGAAAACAACGAAAAGGTTCATATACACGAGGAGAAATTGTATCTTTTGAAAGAGATATATTTTCTATACATAAATTTGTAAGGGAATTTGCATTTTTAAAATGTTAGTTATGTTGATATGTTAGGACTGGTAGAAATACTTCCTAGATATTAAGTCTAGGAAGGAATTCTATTAATTTTAATCTAACTCAAAGCATGTTTTTTATTCAACACAACATTTTAGATCAAGCTTTTTAAGAACCTAGATTATAGCCTCCTCGGAACAACGTTTTTCTTGTAAAAGTTCAATGTTAAAGTAAGCATTTTAACCACAGATATTTTTGCTTTTGTGTACTATTATTAACATGAGGCCAACGCAGGCAAACAATAAATACAAGCACGCGCCTAGAACTATGCAAAACAAATTACACCCTAGCCTTCGGGCTGAACAAGAGGAAGCGAAGAATCTGCTGCGGTTGGCGGAAGTTATGGGGCCAACATGCATGCATGTATA